GGTCGAGGCTGCAGTGGCCAGGAGCGGCCACTGCACTCCAGTCTGGGCAATAAAGTGAGACTCCAACTCAAAAAAAAACAAAACAAAAAATTAGCCGGGCATGGTAGCGCGCACCTGCAGTTCCAGCTACTTGGAAGGCTAAGGCAGAAGGATCGCTGGAGCCCAGAAGATCGAGGCTGCGGTGGCCAGGACTGTGCCACTGCACTCCAGTTTGGACGACAGAGTAAGACTCTAACTCAAAAAAAAACAAAAAGAAGATATCAATGAACACTACAAATCCAGGTTTTTTTTGGTTTGTTTTTTTTTAAGAGTTGATTGTTAAACATTTAGCAAGACATCACTGCTCCTAGGTACTTTCTTTTTCTTTTTCTTTCTTTTTTTTTTTTTAAGTTGGAGTTGGAGTCTCACTCTGTCGCCCAGGCTGGAGTGCAGTGGCACGCTCACAGCCACTGCAGCCTGACTTGTTGGGCTCACTACCTCAGCCTTCCAAGGGAGCTGGAACTACAGGCACGCACTACCACGCCTGGTTAATTTTTTGATTTATGGTAGAGATGAGGTCTCGCCAAGTTGCCCGGGCTGTTCTTGAATCCACGGGCTCAGGTAATTCACTCATCTCGGCCTCCAAAGTGCTGGGATTACAGGCTGGGCCACCCAGCCCGACTGTTTATTTATTTTTAAAAAGCCTAACAGACTTGTTCGAACAGTATGAAAATGATACATCCAAAATGAGTGGAGGTTGTGAAAATGCTGGAAGCAATGAAAAAGAATTTTAAAACTAAAATTGGAGGGGAGCTATTTATTTATCCTAAGCTCAATGTAAATATATTACAAAGAAGGGTCAGGGTTTCTCCACTTTTAAAATTGTTTTTGTACCTAATATTAAATACAAGTGATCATAACACATGATAATGAGAGAACTGAAGTCCAAAATAATGGAAGAGAAAATAAGAGAAGACCTAGATGCTTTAAATGAATTCTCTTCTGTGCTCAGAAAAAGAAGTGTTGATTGAGTTCATTGTAGCCTGGAGTCACTTCTAGCTGCCAGAGATCTGACCTTTGCCCAGGATGTGGCTCCATTTTTTTCTTTTGAGTTGGAGTCTCACTCTGTTGCATAAGCTCATGGCTACCACAGCCTCGAACTGCTGGGCTCAGGCAATCCTTCTGCCTCAGCCTTCCAAGTAACTAGAACTACTGGTGTGCGCCAACACACTTGGCTAATTTTCTGATGTATTATAGAGACTAGGTCTCACCAAGTCGCCAAAGCTGGTCTCGAACCCCTGGACTCAGGCGATCCTCTCACCTCTTCCTCCCAAAGTGCTAGAATTACGGGTGTGAGTTACCGGGCCCAGGGTGGCTCCATTTTAACAACTTGGGTAAAGTGCTTTTTTAACTCCGATGTCAAAGTTTATAAGGATAGATAATATATTGTATGCTGGGTCATATTTTAAGAAGTCCCAACAGTCTGGAGTGATGGATCAAATACATTCCTGTGAAAAAGACCTAGAGCGTCAGGCTTACTTAAAGTTGAGTATACACCAGCACTGTGCCATGACAGCCACAAACCCCCAAATTGCCCCAGACTGTGGATGGAATGGCAGAATAGCCAAGGCTGGGATGACCCACCTGAGTAAGTTCTGCTCCTAGGAATAAAACAGAGTGGGAGGCCAGGCACGGTGGCTCACACCTGTAATTCTAGCACTTTGGGTGGCTGAGGTGGGAGGATAGCTTGAGGCTAGGAGTTCGAGACCAACCGGGGCAACATAGCAAGATCTTGTCTCTACAAAAAAAAATTAAAAATTAGCTGGCCATGGTAGCGCATGCCTGTAATTCCAGCTACTTGAGAGGCTGAGGTGGAAGGATTGCTGAGCCAGGAAAATAAATAAATAAATAAATAAATAGAGTGGGAAGTAGATGGTAGATTTTTAACTGGGACCCTATCTGGGGCTTCGGGAAGCAGACAGAAATCAACACAGCAGTTCTAGTTCTAGTTTATTTACAGACCTGGATTCATAACCTAGGGTTTTTGTAACTGCAGTTGCTCACAGTTTGCTTAATTGTGTAATCCCCTCTGCTCCCTAGGATGAGAAGCAATACAATTCTTCAAAACAAAACAGCCTTGAGCTTCAAGGCCCAGCAGAAGCCTGGTGTATACTGTGTAGTGTGTCTCAACCTCAAACGCTTTTTCTATCTAGATTCCAAACACAGTGAGACATACCAACCAAAGGCATTTTCCAGGGATTAATGATGCACACCCATATGTACTACATACAACTGGAACTTCAAAACACACTCATGAAGTGAATGAAAAAAAAAATCAAGAAATAAATGAGTTTAACTTAACTATCTCTGTCAGTATGTATGGGCCAAACCTGTTGTTTTCCTTTTAGAAATCCTAAGATGTGATCTTTTGGGAAAATTCAATATAAATTCTATTTCTTATAATTCCTATGTGGCACAGGACAGCATCACTGCCAAATGACTCTGCTAAGGCCCACTATTTAGTTGCAAAAAATTCTATATCCATCAAAGTTACCTCCTTGTAAATGGACTGCACACAAACCCTAGTGCTTCAAAGTCACCGAGCTGCAGAAAGTGCTAGAAGGCACTGGAGCCTCCTTTAGCCAAATTTCCAAACGAAGACAAGTAATATACCTTTAAAAACAGACATTTTAAAATAGTATAACCTGTATAGTATTTCATTAAAAAATCAGACAACCAGACACACGGGGCCCATTACCTTGGCCTTCTTGAGCAGGTCAACGATGTCGAGGTTCATGGATGCCAGCTCCCGGCTCGGCATGCTCTGTAGCTGGGTGATGATGAACAGCTCGCAGATGTGCTGCAATCTGGAAACTTGGTACATCTCAGCACAGATCAGGAGACACATGGCCTGGAAAATGCCAGCTGGTGAGAGAAGGGAAATAAGAGAAAATGGGCAATAAAGATCATTTCTTTAATGACCTGGAAAACTCGCACACTCACATACAAAAATAAATAAATAAATAAATAAACAAAAAACGTGCTGACCATATCACCCAGTGTAGAGTAGAATGCCCAGGAAAAGCCGGGGGAGTCAGCATTCTGCACTGTGACCCCATGTTAAAAGGAATCCGTTGAGGCCTGCACACTCAGCGTTATACCACAGAACTCCACTATGTTAGCATACGTGCTCAGAAGGGAGGCTACTCTTTTTAATTCTCAAGAGAAGGTGATTCTATAATTACCCTGAACAGTCAGTTCCGGGACTAACAGGCAAATCTTTCTGTCAGCTAAATTAAATCCTTAATTTTTTTTTTTTTTTACTTGGTGTGAGTCTCCAGGCTGGTGTTTTTTAATTGTGATTAAAAAAACAAAATTCACCATTTTAACCATTTTTAAGTATATGATTCAGTGGCATGAAGTACACTCACACTGTTGTACAACCATCATCATCATCCATCTTGAGAACTTTCTTCTTTTTCCCCAAACTGAAACTGTTCCCATTAAACAATAATTCCCCCTTTCCCCTGCCCTTGGCCACCCAGCTTTTGTTTATTTGTTTTTGAGTCAGGGTCTCACTCTGTCGCCCAGGCTGAAATGTAGTGGCATAATCACGGCTCACTGCAGCCTTGACCTCCTGGGCTCAGGCAATCCTTTCACCTCAGCTTCCTGAACAGCTGGATCTAAGGTATGCCACCAGTCTACACCTGGGACTACAGGTGTGCCCCACTAATTTTTTTTTTTTTTTGTAGAGACAAGGTCTCGCTATGTTGCCCAGGCTGGTCTTGAACTCCTGGGTTTAACCTCCCAAAGTGCTGGGATTAAGGCATGAGCCAGTGTGCTCTGCCTTGCTTATTGTTTTTTAAGTACTTTCCCCTATAAATCTGATTTTTCAAGTAATTCTCTTTTTTATCTCTCCTTAAGTTTCAGTTTCTTACATTCTTTTGTAGCTATAGAACCAAGAACACTGTGTAAAGTAAACATTTAACATAATGACATAAATTTACCTTTCTGCCATCTTCCCGGTGCATAAATTCTGGTATCTGACTTAACTTGCTCCCCCACTACTAACTTTTTACCGATTTAAAAAAAATCACTTTGTCTTATAGTTATAATTGGTTTCCTGAGCAACTTTTTTCTTTCTTTTCTTTTTTTTAAGTTGTAGTCTTACTCTGTCACCCAGGCTGGAGTGTAGTAGCACGAATCATGACCACCACGGCCTCGACCTGCTGGGCTCAGGCTACCCTTACGCCTCACCCTTACAAGTATTGTAGAGACTAGGTTTCACCAAGTTGCCCAGTTGGTCTCCAACCCTGGGGCTTAGGCAACTCTCTTACCTTAACCTCCCAAAGTGCTGGGATTATAAGTATGAGCCACTGCGCCCGATAATTTTTTTTTTAATTAGCAAGATAAGACTTAAAATTAGCAGCTTCAATTCATCTAGTGAGAGGATGATTGAAAAACAAAATTTTCCTATTATTCCAAACCTCATCAAGTTTTTAATTTAATATACAAATTGCCAATAATGAAAGAGTAAACAATCATCCTTATTTCCAATAAGAACTAACACCTTCATTTTAATTAGGCAAAAATGATAACACTGACAGTGTTTAACACTGACAGTCATGACTGTAACTTGCTCCAGCATAGTCTACAGTCAGCTGCAAGACCAGACTTAATTCAATTTAAAAAAGGAACTTTCGCCGGGTGTGGTGGCTCACACCTCTAATCCCAGCACTTTGGGAGGCAGAGGCAAAAGGATTGCCTGAGCCCATGGGTTCGAGACCAGCCAGGGCAACATGGTGCGACTGCATCTTTACAATAAATAAAAAAATTAGCCAGGCATGGAAGCACATGTCTGTAGTTCCAACTACTTGGAAGGCTGAGGTGGAAGGATCACCTGAGCCCAGCACCTCGGGGCTGCTGTGGTCGTGAGTGTGACACTGTACTCCAGCCTGGGTTACAGAGTAGACTCCAACTCAAAAAATAAAATTAAAAAAGAATTTTCTTTTTTGGAACTTCTAAAATCTTTCACTAAAGAGCTCACAACTTGTTTAAAACTTATTTGAATAACAAACATAAGAAATTGTACCAGTCTGAAAAGTAAAGCGGGGAACCTGAAGGTGGGTATGTACGGTGTGACATATATTTGCGATGGTGCCTGGCCAGGTTCTCCAAGGGTTTATTCTAGTTGTGTCGTGGCAGGAGCCACCTGGTGGCCAAAGGCTGAAGACTACTCAAAAGGGGCCTCCATGCCAGCATCCCAAGGCTCCAGGCCTGCTGAAAGAATCTGGCTTTCTCCAAGGTGCCTCCAGCCAGAGCAAAGCTGCAAGATCGATTCCAACCTGCGGCTGCCATACATGGAGGGTTCTTTGTCAAAGGTAGTCCATGGTCAGTGAATTTGGAAATAAATCCCACAGTCCACTGGGCACTGAAAACATCTTAGGAAAAGTTTCCAGAGAAGTCAGCTGTAGGAGAGTCTGACTTCAGAAGTCAGAAGGAGGCCTTTGAAAAGTCCCACATCCTCTGGGCCAGAAAGAAGACCAAAAAAGTCTTAGTATATCGAAATTCTTAAGAGTATCTCCATCAGCAATCAGAGCCATAAAGCAGCTGCTCAACCCTCTCCCTGAGGAAGAGATAGTGCCTCAGGAGCTCTTTGCCCTAGACTCTAGAATTAGAGTAGCCTCTGAGAACCATAAGACACCTCCATTTCCAAGTACCTACGGCAAACTTCACATTGCGGGTGCTGGCTGAACATGGGAACTTGTGCCGCAGTCCGCGACACACACGAGGCACCCAACCACTGCACTTCCACTTAAACTGGCTGAAAAGTCATAGTTGTCCCAACACCACCTCCAGCTGCTTAGCACATTCCATGATGTCAACTCTATCAGATTTTATCAAATCCTCAATGAAAACAGTATTCATAGAAAGCAATTTATCAAAGTGTGTGACAAGGAAAGAATCGTGAGATACTATCTAGCATTTATGCTGCTTACCTGGGCAACAGGAGTCTGTGTAGAGGTATTCCAGAAATGACAAGAAAGTCTCTTTGGAAACTCCGTACACTGGAATCAGGACACTCTTGGCTTCCATGTAGTTACCATTAAACATGGCTGCCATCACTTCACAACGGGCCACTAGGATGGCTCTGTGAGCTGGCACCGTCGTACCTAAACGGTTCAAAAGGGAAACAGAGACAAAAAAGATAAACTTGCAGTGTTATTACTCCAGTAGTTTTCCTCCTAATTAGACTATTGCGCTGGGCACAGATAGGTCGATATGCAGAAACCAAATTTTAGAGTTGATAGCCACTACGAATCCAAAGATGGCTTCGTTTTAAACTGAACAATAAAGCGATCAAAAGTTGACTTGGAAACCAACACTTTGCAAGTCAGGCCACCATTTGTTACTTAGTTTACATTTCCTAAAGATAGGAACACAGAAAAAGTGTTTTGCTTCATATTTTTATAATGAAACATAGTAACACCATCCTTGCCCATGTGCCTCCCAAGAAAATAACCTCAATTATCCTTGGGTCAAACTCACAGAATGGTCTTGACCAGGGTTCCCCTTATCAGAAACAGGAAACAGCAAAAAGTAAACCATAAGCAGTCTGCACATCACATAGGAATGGCAAAAGAATCTCTTATGGAGCCAAGGAAAGTCTGGAAGAGGGTGGCCTCAGCTAACTACCACCCCAGGAGTCACTCTTTCCCACAAGAACAATGCCTGCTTCTGAGGCAGCAAGAGAGCCTGTCCTGCTCGCTGAAGCTCATTACACTCAACTGACTCTCTAGGAAGAGCTAAGCTCTCCAGCGACCGTGCTACCACACAAAGGCAGTACCAGATGGGGGCACAAGTGGCCTGGGGGCTCTGGCATGGTGAAGCCATTCTCACTACTACTGCCACCTTAGGAAACCAGAAGTCCACACTGCCAGCCTTTAGTTTAGCCTCGATCCATTCAACTGATCATTCTCAAGCACCCACCAGGTGCCAGTCACTGTGCTTGGTTTTTTGTTTGGAGTCAGTCTGTTGCCCAGCCTAGAGTGCAGTGGCACCGCAGCCTCAACTTGCTGGGCTAGCTAACTTTTTTTGTTTGTTTAATTTATTGTAGAATCAGGCACAGTGGCTCACGCCTGTAATCCCAGCAATTTGAGAGATGGAGGTGAGAGGATTGCCTGAACTCAGGGGTTTGAGATCAGCTAGCCTGAGCAACATGGCGAGAACTTATCTAAAAAAATCAGCCAGGTGTGGTGGTGCATGCCTGTGGTTCCAGTTACTTAGAAGGCTGAGGTGGAAGGATCACCTGAGTCCAGCAGATTGAGGCTGTGATGGCCATGAGTGTGCCACTCTACTCCAGCACAGTGAGACTGCAACTAAAAAAAAAAATTTTATTGCAGAGACAGGGTCTCACCATGTTGTCCAGGCTGATCTTGAATCCCTGGGTTCAGGTAACCCTCTCACTCTGACCTCCCAAAGTGCTGGGATTACAGGCATGAGCCACCACACCTGGCTGTGCTTGGTATTGAAGATAAAAAGATGAGAAAGATAAAGCTACCCTGGCTTTGGAGCCAGTGTGAATGACAAAGGTACTTTGTTCCAGAAAGTAACTGTCCAAGCCAAACTACTCTACTCTGCCCAAGAGTTTACCCAACATTCCTGAAGTCTCATACTTATCGGGGGTATATATTCTTCTTTAAAATAGTTATAATTCTTGGGGGTTTTGTTCCCTCTGAATCCAATCAAAACATCTCCTGACTCAGGAAGGAAGAGTTACACCTAAACCCAGTAGCTTTCTCCAAAGCCAATAATCCCTTGGGATCCACAAGCAACATCTGACATTGCCTGCCCTGAGCCAGGGGCAGGGGGCAGTGCTGGGGAGCACTCCCACCTGGTCAACTCACACTGCCAGCAGGTATGCTCACCATCCTGCCTCACCGAGACAGTGTCCATCTACTGGGGAGGGTCAGTTTCCATAATTAGAGCATGCTGGTACATTTGTATACAGCAATTAACAAAGAATACCAACAGGTAATGCCATCTGCCTTGTAATTTTAAAGATAAACAGGGAATCATTTTAAAAAAGAAATGAGAAGCTTGACTTTAAACAAACTGGATGGCCTATCATTTGGGTTAAGCAGAAGAATTTAAGACTGACCAAAAATACCAAGTGGATAAGTAGATGGAGGTGGAATTTGATAAGTAACCTTGACATTTTAACAGAAATTTTCTGTCGATAATGTGGTTACAGCAGAGTTGGGAAACCAGCAACATACAGTCAGCTCTCCATATCTGTGGGTTCCACATCCAGGGATTCAACCAATGAAAATACCTGGAAAAAAAACTGCATCGGTACTGAATGCATACAGACTTTTTATCATTACTCCCTAAACAATGCAGTGTAACAACTATTTACATAACACTTACATTGTATTACGTATTATAAATAAACTTAGTAGGTTATTATAAATAGGTTATTATAAATAACCTGGAAATTATTTAAAGTATAGAGGAGGGGGCTGGACATGGTGGCTCATTTCTGTAACCCCAGCAATTTGGGAGGCTGCGGCTGAAGACTGCTTTATTCCAGGAGTTCGAGACCAGTCTAGGCAACACAGTGAGACCTCATCTCTACAAAAAAATGAAAAATAAAAAAATAGGCATCCAGCTACTTGGGAGGCTGAGGTGGGAGGATCACCTCGCCCAGGAATTTGAGGTTGCAGTGAGCTATGATCGCACCACTCACTCCAGCCTGGGTGACAGTATGAGATGCTATCAAAAAAAAAATTAAAAGTATATAGGAGAATGTGTATAAGTTATATGCAAATACTAAGACATTTTATATCAAGGGCTTGAGCACCGAGTAGTTTGGTATTCGCAAGAGGCTCTGGAAGCAATTTCCCAGGGATACCAGGGGATAACTGATACCTTAAGGCATTCCTATTTCAAGCTTGGATTTTAGTTTGGAAAACCGTTTACTTTCAGCTAAAAAAACATCAACTTGTTTCTCATTTCTTTAAACTACTGTTTTGGTGTTACCAATTGTCCTGTGGTGACACTAACATAATACCTCAGTATAGTTACATCTTTTAACGTTGTCTATAAAATATGCTGAATGAGCATTAATGCAAGGTTTATGTACTAACTGGCAATAAAATACAGGTTAGTTATCACTTAGAGAAAAAGAAGACATCAATTTTCTAGTTAAAAGAGACTCAGGTTTCTTGACACGTCAAGACCAAACAATCTTCTCTTTGTAGTATGTATGTGATGTTACAGTCTTAACAAACTTTCTCTAAGGAGAATAACTATAAAAATAAAACAAAATTTAAAAGCTCAAGTTTTCTAGTCACTTTACACAGATTATCAAAGATCTTTTTTTTTTTTTTTGAGTTGGAGTCTCACTCTGTCACCTGCGCTGGAGGGCAGTGGCACCCTCCCGGCCACCACAACCTCAGCCTGCTGGGCTTCGGCAATCCTTTCACCTCAGCCTCTCAGCCTTCCAAGTAGCTGGAACTACACGCACAAGTCACCATGCCCAGCTAATTTTTTGATTTATTATAGAGATGAGGTCTCGATAAGTTGCCCAGGCTGGTCTCGAACCCATGGGCTCTGACAATCCTCTTACCTCGGCCTCCCAAAATGCTGGGATACTAGGGGTGAGCCACTGCACCCGGTCAATCTTTGTTTTTAATGACACTAACATATAATACATTTGTCACATACTCTTCATACTACTTTGTAGTTTCAAAAGTGAAATTTTTAGAACTGTTTTTGGCTTCATTCTGAAAACAAAGATACCTATCTAGCTCAAGAGAGATTTAGAGTGTGTACTACATAAGTAAACAGCAAAGGCAGGTAATTTTTTACAAAGCTCTTCATGTGACACACACGCAAATAAAATGTCTTTCTGTATCATGTCTAAATATTTACCTAGACTAATTTTAGAATTGCTAGAGTAACATTTTTGTTTTCACCAACCCAAACAACAAATTGGAAGTGGTAGGGAAAAATACGTATTTGGTGACCACCTATATCACAGAGATAGTATTTCATTTTATATCACATGCCAACTCCAGCCAGTTGGAAGAAATGGCCTGGAACATTTAAAAGAAAGTTTGGCTGCCATCGCGGGGGACAGGAGTGGAGACGGCAGGCTAGGCCTCGGCTAGTCCTTTATCTGGACTATCTCAATCCCGTGGCCACTCCACAAGGCAGAAATTAGTAGCCCTACTTTGCAGGTGATGTAAGAAAGCACCAGTCATGTCAAGCCACATAACTAAACCTGTGTAGGAAATACCCATCCCAACAAAGATTCCAACCAGGTCTTTCCAGCCCACATCACTGTCGCTTCATGAAGGTGTATCAACGTGTCAGTCAAAAGTCTATTCTCGCTGGGCTCGGTGGCTCAGCCTGTAATCCTGCGCCTTTGGGAGGCTGAGGTGAGTGGATTGCCTGAGCCCACGGGTTCGAGACCCGCCTGGGCAGCGAGACCTCATCTCCACAATAAATCAAAAAATCAGCCGGGCATGGTAGCGCATGCCTGTAATTCTGGCTACTTGGAAGGCTGAGGTGGAAGGATCACCGGAGCCCAGCAGGTTGAGGCTGCAGTGGGCGGGAGTGGCCACTGCACTCCAGTCTGGGTGACAGAGTAAGACTCCAACTCAAAAAAAAAAAAAAAATCTATTCTTATGTAGGTCTCCTTAAACTTCTCATGACACTGAGTAGTATTCATGCTTAAAACTGGAGTAAGGACACCACAGAATTATTACATGTGACTTCAAAGGTATTATTATTGTACAAAGCGAACACACTTCATTTAAATGGATAATTATTTAATTTTAAAATTATCTTCTCCATTATTTCACGTACATTTACATTTAGAATTCCAACGTTATCTCCAAATTTGAATTATTCCACAAATATGAATCTTTCAAAGTGTGGCTCTTGCATAATTCAAATAAATATTTTAGGTAAAGTGTATAGAGAAAAATTTCACTCTAACTTAAAAATTTTTATCATTCAGATTTGAGAAAAATTATTGAGGGTCTGCCTTAAGTTTAATATAAATGTAAAATATAAGAATATTTTCCTTCCCTGTTTTTGATTTAAAACATCTAAGTTATCAATCAATCACAAACCTAGAAATACTTTCACACTCCAAACAGCT